ATGAGCCACATCTATTCAAATGTAAACGTCTGATTCGGGTTGTTAGGCATTCGAATGAATCAATGCTCTTGGCCAAGTTTGTGTTGACAAGGACACCGATGCCTCCAACACCTCTTTTATCGCATGTTCCGAGGAACAATTCTTCTCCAGTGTCGAAAATGGCATGGTGAGATTCGTGCCTTCTTGTCTCGGTCAGACCAATGATGTCGTACTTGATCATTCGCGCTTGTACCATCAGGACACGACTTCCACTACCCAGCCATCGCCACACTCCAGGACGCTTTCCGGACACATCATAAGACACTAAATACCCATCTTCTGGAATTTTCGTACCATATTTGATAGGGTTCAAATATGGTAACACCTACAAGGGTGATTAGAGGTCACCCCAAAAGCCTCTATCCCTCTCGGAAAGACTGGCTAGCTACCGAGAGTATTCCGCCCGCACGGAAGAGCCTGGCAAGCTATCCGCTGTGTATTCGATATGCCAAAACCAGTAACTACAACTGGTCTCATTCACCTGACCCTGAAGGCTTCACCGACATGGCAGCACTGAGAAGGATGAGAAAGGAGAGGCCAACAAAATCTCAAGGCCGACCTAGGCTGCCACAACGAAGGAAGACAAAAATGATCGTCTGTACTTTCAATGCACGTACGCTAGCATCAGATGCATCCATCGAGGACCAGAATAATCAGTAGTTAAGAATATTATGTCTATTTAAAATTTATTCACTAGCAAATTCCATTGAGAAATCCTAAAACTGATGAAAAATTACTTACATGAAAAGATTTCAGAAGGTTCTGAAAATAGGATTCTGAAATATTTTTTCTGAAATGGTATTATGATCACACAGGATTATATTATACCTATATCTATATATATTCTCTTAATCTGTCAAAATATGTAATAATATAGGAATGGAATTGGTTTAGAGTATAAGCAAATAAGACCAATAACAAGTAATTATTTCTCACTGTGAGTGTATGATTATATCTGTTGCTGAACTGGAAGATTGTTTAAGTCTGAGATTTGTGGAGAGAAATTATCCCAGAAGAGGTGGTATCACACATTATAACAGTCATCCTGTTCATTGATTTTCTCGAGCAGGCACCAGTAATGTCTCCTTCGTCCTAGCCCTGCGATTTTAGAAAGTGCCATATTCAAGGCTCTTTCAGGATCAGGAGAATGAGACCCATCATTGTTACTGGTTTTTTGGCATATTGAGTACACCACGGGGAGTTTGCCAGACTCTGCTGTGAGGGCAGGGTACTTTCAGTAGCCTGCTGGGTTCTCCAGAGTAAGAACTAGATAATGCTTTGTCTTCATGATGGAATGAACATTGACTATGAAGACCATGAATGTTAAAATTTCCATTTCTACCTCATGATGTCTCACTAATAAAAAAAATTTCCATTTCAGTTTAAAACAGAAAAAAATAATAAAAGGGTAAGAGTACAGAGGTTAGGTCATACACTTTTCAAGAGTACAAAAAGGTTTTATGCTTTTGTTTTGATGTACCAAACACAGTAACAACAAAGTCTCCAATGGAGACGTTACTGGGCCCGCTCGAGCAAATCGACGATCAACGGGAGGGCCTTTACCTTACCTTTACCTTGGTTTTAGACACTCATGGTGATGCTGGAGGCCATTCCCAGCTCTCTTACAGGGGTTTCTGAGAACCAGATGCACAGGAACAAAACTTGGGGTTTCTGCATGCAAAACATGCTCTTGCCCCAACTGAATTCAATCCCTTTCACCAGCCCGTTTCTGAGCATTGCCAGAGAGCCTGGAGGCTCTTGAGCCTGCCAGACTGGATCTGTGCATCTGCAACGTGACAGGAACCTGGGGGCACCTCACTCTTGGGTCCAATCTCTGAACTGTCATCCTGATTAGCAGAATATCAATGGATTGGCCTAGAGGTCGTCTGAACACATATTAGTTTCTGCCCTCCCTAAATGAAAACAAAAATATTCACATAAAAATAAACATATAGGTACAGAACTGAGAACTTGCCTTCATGTACCAGATCCTTATTAGGTCCCTAGTCCCACATGGCCTCCCCAACACACACACACACACACACACACACACACACACACACACACACACACGCCAAGTATTGCTAGTCCTGGGTCCATGAACATCCCTGGGAGACATATTTGCTCCCTGGCATGAGAGGACCAAGCAGACTGCAACGTCAGGCCCAATTAAAAGGGATTGATAGGGAAGAAAGTAATCATTTTACTCTACCAAATGTTACTGGAATGGAAGGAGTTTCTCTTCCTATTTTTAATTAACAATGTGAATTTATGTATTTTTGCTTAAAATTCTCAAGTAAAGATATGACTCTTTTTATGCCTTCAAAATCTGTCTTTTGTTTGTATTCCAGTTTACAACACAGCCTGTTTTCTACAACCTAAGGAGAGTCACCAGAGCACACGGAGAAATTTCTTACCTCATCATAGGGACAAGCTGTCAGTCTCAGAAGCCGACACTTAGATGAAAGCCATATCTCTGCCATTCAGTTCCTTTCAATAAAACATAGTTTGTGGAAGGGTTAACTTGGGTCCAATTCAATCCTTTGGCCATTGGGGGTTAGGTGGAAAGTGCTTTTGTCAGCAGCAGAGATTCTGGGTGCTCTGGGTATTGGCAATTCTGTGCAACACCCTGGGGTTCAAATTTGCAATACTATTGGGTTTTCTTCCAACATATTATTCTGTTGAAGTGATTTTAATGATCACACCTACTAACTGGAAGTATAGCTTTATCTCTGTTCAGTGAATCATATCATAAATATATTGTAAGCTGTGCTTTGATTTCAGAATATGCTACAAGGGAATTTGTTTTCCTTAATTTTATTGACTATCATAATTTAATTTATCATTTGACTTTATGAGAATTTCTACACTTAAAATTGCCTTTATCTTAAATAGGGATAAATATGAATGATTTACTGCCAATTCATCAAGGAAGAATCCAGTTTTTGTTAATTTTAACATTTTATATTTGGACTAGGGAACATGGTTATAGTAATATTGAATGTTCAGCGCATTAGCATGAAAACTTAGTGCACTCCCTCAAAGAACCCAAGCAAGGTATTCAAGATTCTCCACCACTGTCTCTATGTGACCTGTAATCTGCCTTTTCCTTCTCCATCTCTTCTCCCCCATTTTCTGGTAATTTAAGATTTATAATGAAAGACCAAGGGTTTGTCATTTTTCAATCCTACCCAATATTGTTCAACACTCTTGGCTTATCTTCCGTATAACCACAGATAAGTGAGATCATCTGGTACTTGTCATATACCTCCTGACTTATTTTACTTAGCATACCTTCTGATTCTATGATTTCATCAGTTCTTATAACTGCACAGGATTGCATTATCTATATAATAACTTCTGTATCTATTCCATTGTAATTGGACATTTGGGTTGTTTCCAAATCCTGTCTATTGTATTAAGCATTTTATTGAATGTAGCTGTGCATAGTTTTAACTTTCATGTGTTTTTCGGGGGTCAGTAGATGCCCAGAAGCTGAATTGTTGGATCATATTGAGAGTTTATTCTTACATTTTTGAGAGCTTTTCAAAATGCTTTCCATAGATACTGAAATAGGCAACATGCCAACCAACAGTGTATGTGGGTTCCTTTGCCTCAGCACTGGGTATTTCAGTTATTTTTTATATATGCCATTCTCATGGCAATCAGTTGTTATTTCACTCTCATCTTTAAAATATTTTTATTTCTTGCATTTTTTTGACATCATAAGACAATGAACTCTTTTCCAGGTCTTGGGTCATCTGTATATCTTCTTCAGGGAAGTGTCTGTGTATCATTTTTCCGCATTTGGATAGGATTGTTGGTACCTTAACTGTCAAGCCTTATATATAATGGATATTTGCCTTTATCTGAATTATTGTGTGAAGTATTTTCTCTCATTCAATAGGGTGTATTTTTAATTTTTGCTTGTGTGTGTGGGAGGGGTAGGCCATAGAAACCATTTTTAAAATTTGATGTATTTTATTTCTTCACCTTGATTTTACTTATTTTTCAATTATCAAATAATTGAAGATTCTTTTGTTGTCCATGTGCTGGAGAGCTTTGACTATATTTACCTGATATATTTCATGAATTTTGGTCTAATGCCATGCTTTTTTATCATAGTTAATTGCAAAATATTGAATTATTTCTGTTAAGATCAGGCACAAAGCAAAACTGTTCCCTTTATCCTTCTTACAATCAGCATAGTCTTAGAAATGGTTGTCACAACAATTAGGCAAGAAAAATAAATCATTGAGATCCAAATTGCAAAAAAACTGTAAGTGCTTCTTTCCTTTTTTGAAACACCTTTCTCAGAGTTAACTTTGTGGCTTTGTTTCTCAGGCTACAGATCACTGGATTCAACGCTGGGGGAACTATCGTATACATGATAGTGAGCAACCTGTCCAAAGCAGTTGGAGATTCAGAATGAGGCTTGAAATACTTGAGGGCACCAGTAGAAAGGAACAATATGACGACAGCAAGGTGGGGAAGGCAAGTGGAAAAGGCCTTGGCTCTGAGGGTGAGTAAATTTGTCTATTCTCTAGTGTTTGAAGTTATAGTACAGGAAGAATATTCAAGTCTTAGACTGGTGGAGAGGAAACGGCCCAGAAGAGGTCAACCCCAGCACACATCAAACCTAAGCTCTTTGGAAGGCTGCTCTTTCTCAGAGTGATTTGGTGTGTGTGTGTGGGGGGGGGGGTGGCAGGCAGGTAGGGGAGAGTATGACTGTATGTGTTCGTGTGTGAGAGTCTCACATCATAGAGGTGATAATTGTGTTGAGCAAAATGTTTCTGCTATGGAAGGAATTTACAGTTTCATTTCAAGATTCCATTTTTCATTAAATAATCTGTAATTATATAGTTTCTTTCAAATGTTTCAAGTGAAGAATTTTACACACTCAAAAAAATTATCAGTATTTCATTCTCCTTATCTACACTATAAGATTGAACTTATCTTACCTTTCTGGAACCTAAGGAAATCACCAGAACACGTTCAGGAACTTCTTCTTTCAACATATGGGTAAGCTGCCAGTATCTGCATTTCACACGAGATGAAAGTTCCCATACCTGTGATTCGGTCCCTTTCAGCAAAATACTGTCTGTGGAGAAAAGAACACTAAATCCATTTTAATTCTTTGGCCTCTTGAGGGTAGGTCTGAGGTCCCTTTGGCGAAGGAGGGTTCCTGGGCGCCCTGGGTATTTACAGTTCCTTCCTAGAGACCAAATTAGTGATTATATTCAGTTTCCTGGCAAGTTATTTCCTTGTTGAGTTGATATAATGATCACACCAAGCTATTTAAGGTTATTGTTGCATGTTTATTGGATCACATTATAGAAAACCATCATGACTTGGGCATGAAATTTAGAACATCCAGAAAGTTTCATTGAGCTGAATCTATTTGACTGACTGAAGAGTCATTTAGTTTATAATTTGATTCTATTACAATGTCTAATAGTAGAGTCCCCTTTCTTTAAAATGGGTTCTAGAAGTAGATATCAATCAACAAAGCAAAAATTATAACCCAATATCTGATGACATTAAATATCACTTGAAACTCTGAGTAAAAAAGGAAACAGTAGCTATCAAAAATAATATGTGGATATCTGCCCTTTCCCTGCCCTGGCAGCAAGGTGGTTACCTCCTCAGAGCTTATTAGAAAGCCAGGTATGAGCCAGTGGTGACGGGGCAACTGCAGTCACATGGGAAGGGGGGCGGTACCGGCTCGTCCTTCATGCCCTACCGAGGTCACGAGTTGCCCCCCATGAGCGATTCTCTGGCAAGGCCATGGCTCTAGATGCACAGAAACCAATCTTGTAATTATCTGGCTCTTTCCAGAAATCCCTCCAGACTTACCTAGTAAAATATTAGAAATCCAAAATCGCAAGGCTGCTATTGTGGCCGCACAACATGATATGGTTCTCATAAACAGCTATAGAAAACAAATTATTTCACAATGCCTTTTCAGCTATTCTGATTGTTGAGTAGAAATTCTAAGCAATAATGGTGCATCTTTTGTTGAAATAATGAATGTAATTAAAGTAGAGAGAGAGTTAAGTAGAAATCATCTGCCTCACAGGCATTGGGAGGGGTGGGAGGGGGGTATATTGGGGTTCTTGGTGGTGAAAAATGAGTACTGGTGAAGGGAAAGGTGTTTGATCATTGTATGACTGAGACTTAAACCTGAAAGCTTTGTAACTTTTCCCACAGTTATTCAATAAATAAATATAAGGAAAAGAAATAATATGTGGATTTGTACTCAATGAGTTCACTAATCAAAAACTTGAATATTAAAATTAACATTGTTTAAAATAAGTTTAGAATTAGAAAAGTAATAAGTAAAATAGCAAATAATTCCTATTGTTATGAGAATTATTTTATTCAATTTAAAATGGCTTCACATATTCATATCATTATCACAATCTCGTATTTATCCTAAATTATATTTTATAGATGTCAGCTTTTCATAAGTATTACACAAAATAGACCAAAATAATTTTATTACTAATTTTTAATTTTAATTTTAATTTTTATCTTCTAACTTGTGAATAAATGCACGTTTATCAACAAAAAAATGAGACAAATTTTTCATAAAGTTCTTAAATCCATACATGCTTTTGTGTTCCTGATCTTGGAGAGTAAGTGTTTTTCAGTAAATAATGAAAAAGATCTATAACATAATATAAGACAAGGAGGAAAGAAGTTGTTTCAAAGAATCAGAAATCAGAAATGAAAGTTTAGGTACACGAGTTGTCATGATCATGAAATAGAAATTACAGACTAAATAAGAGTAAATATAAATTATTTAACACCTTTGAAAAATTGATTGCAGAAAATCTTATGTTATGAAAATCTTATCTATTATCAGATTTGTTGAAGTTTTAATTTTTAAAATATTAAATGTCCCAGATATTACCCATTTTTTTATTTAGGAGGGTAGAAGGTTTTTTTTATCCAGTAGGATGACATGTTTTAATAATTGTATACACACAGGCACACATACGCACATACACCATAGGAGATAAGCCTTTAGCTTGATAAAATCCCATTTGTTTATTTTACTTTTGTTTCCTTGTCATGAAGACAAATCCCTCAAAACATCACAGAAATCGTGGAGTCCATTGCCTTCGTTTTCATAGATGCATTTTCTTTATTCATGCTTAACATCGAAGTCTGTATGGTTTGAGCAATCTATATTTATATTCTTAGTGAGATGGTGGTTCAACTTCATTCTTCTTTTCTTTTTAGATCACACCCTGAGATACACAGGGGTTACTCCTGACTTTGCACTCAGGAATTACTCCTGGAGGTGCTTGGGGTCCATATGGAATGCTGGGAATTGAACCTGGGTCGTCCACGTACAATGCAAACACCCTACCCGCTGTACTATCCCTCCAGCCCCCAGCTTCATTCTTTAGCATGTGACTACCCTGTTTGTACATCGCCATCAGCTAAAGAGATGTTTCTTCTTCACTAACTACCCAGATGTTTTGTTGTACGTGAACTGTCTATATTTCTGATGGCTTCTTTATAAGCTCTTAATTTTAATCCATTATTCTGAGTGTCTGCAGTGGCTCCACATCACATTGTTTTGATTGCAAACTATAACATCATCTAACTCACAACTAAATACCTCCCATATTTTGCTTTTCTCAGAATTTCTTTTACGTACTGGAGAATCTGTGGTGTCACACATTGTTATATGCCTAGCAATGTGTCATTGGAATTTTGATAGGCACTAACTGTTTAGTAATTTGCATGAGTCTATTTAGTAATTTACATCTACTTTATTAAACTAATTTTTTGTTTCTAATGGATTTTAGTGATGCTTTAAGTGATGTTATATTATTTACTTTAGCACAATAATAATAACATTATTTAACATGTTATTTAACATGCTAAAATAACGTATTATTTCAATAACGTCATCATTTCAATAACATATTGAAATCTTGGTTGCAACATGTTAACCAAGATGTTAAAATAATCTAAGTTCCTATTAATATTTGAGTGCATAAATTGAAATAGTACATATATACACAATGGAATCTAGCTCAGCCTTGAACAAAAGATAAAACTTTGCCTTTTGTGTAAACACAAAGTGGATCTCGTATTAAACCTTATTATGCTAAGTACAGTTGGTGAGAAGAGAAGGGCTGATATATTATGCTTTTGCTCATGTGAAATATAAGTCAGAAAAACAAATAAACAAAACAAAATCTGAGTTGCATTCAAGTGGTACCAACTTATGAGGCATCCCACTTATTTCCAGACAATGGAATTCTCCTAGCCATGCTGAATCTATCTCGGAAGAACCTGTCATTGTTGTTTATTGCTTTTTATTTGAATTTTTGTAGCTCTAGGAATTGATCCTAGAGATTCACATATGCAATACAAGTGCTCTCCACCTTTTATCTCTCCAGCCATTTTACTACCTTTTTGAGTTGAAGTATATTTTGGGTGTGGAAGTATGTCTTCCCCTGACCTTTTTTTGCCAACTAGTTAACTGTATAATGGTTTTCAACATTTTACTTGGACTCTATATTCATCGTTAATGCTCAAGTGAATCTCCAGTATATAGCAGATGGTTGGCTTTCTTTCCCGTTACATATAGCTACTCTGTATCTTTGCACTTGTGATTTCAAACCATTAATTAGTAGTGTATTTGGCTTAAAGGGATTCATTACCATTTTTGTTTTGGGGTCACACCTTGCGAGGTTCATGGCTTACAGATAGAAAACATACAGACGGAACAACTAAGAGAGCGATGGGCTTATAAAAGAACTCGTCTTATAATATATACTCAATTGAATTTCATGAACAAAACTATCAAAAGATATTATTGAATATAAACATGCATTTTTGTGCATAAGAAAGAGCTAAATTATTCCTATTGAAAAACTGGAGAAAAGGCATAGAATTTGAGCTCTCTCTCTCACTCTTTCTTTCCTCTGTGTCTCTCAGAATCACATTTCCTCATTATCAATTATAGAGCGATTTATCAGTTTAGTTATACGTTTGAACAGTGATAATGGCATCAGAGATTCGGATGATTTTCCTAAGTTAAACACATTGGCAGGGCTGAAGAGAAAGAAAGCAATTACAGAGGTTTCCTTATATGCTGCTGAGAGGCCAAAAATAAATGAATAAATCTTATTGGCAAAGCAAAATGAAAATTTTTAGCATTTCCATTTTAACCAAGTCAAATTAAAAGCAAACTATACAAGAGAATTAAAAGTTACATAGTTTCATTATTGTTAGTCTTTAGTCATCTCTATGAATATTATAGGCTACCTGCAGTGAGTGGCCTGTAACTTCTTTTAACTTCTTTTCCAATTTGAATCTCATCCATTTCTTTCTTTCTTTTTTTTTTTTTTTGCTTTTTGGGTCACACCTGGAGATGCTCAGGGCTTACTCCTGGCTTTGCACTCAGGAATCACTCCTGGCAGTGCTCAGGGGACCATATGGGATACTGGGACTAGAACCCAGGTCAGCCGCGTGAAAGGCAAACACCCTACCTGCTGTGCTATCACTCCAGCCGCTCATCTATTTCTTTTCCGACTTAATTCTGGCTTAATTTCTTTCCAATATCATTTTGTGTAATATTGGTTAGAATGGATATCTTTGTCCAGTGACTTATATAGAAAAGATTTTAGCTTTCAGTCATTGAAGATAACGTTAACTATTCATTTGTTGCATATGATTTTTAATAACTGAGTTAAGTACCTTTTATGTTTTTATAAATTTTCAAAAACTATGAAAGCATGTCACATCTTGTTTAAAGCATTTTTATTCACCTACTGATATAATCATATGATTTATGTCATTTCTATTGTTGATATGTTACATTATTTTTTTTTTGCATATGTTGAACCATCCTTATGTTCATGGAGTAAATCCTACTTGCTCTTGTTTTGTAATTGTTCTTGTATGTTGAGTGTGATTTACTAATATATTTTTGAGAAAAATTGTGTCATATTTTCAAAGATATGTTCTAACACATGTGTTTTGTGTGTAGTCTCAGTCTGTTTTGGTATCTAGTCAACAATGGCCTTATGGCTTATAGATATTGATTAGAATAAGCGTGTGTCTTTAATGTTCTGAAGTATCACTGCAGCAATATCAACCTCTGACCACCATTCACTACTTCCTGCCCAATTTTCCAACTCCAACACCTAGAGGCATGGGCCAGTCCATCTTTTCTTTCTTTCTTTCTTTTTTTTTTTCCTTTTATTGGGTCACACCCAGTGTTGCACAGGAGTTACTTCTGGCTCAGGCTCATACTCCTGGCAGTACTTGGAGGACCTTAGGGGATGCTGGAAATTGAACCTGGGTCGGCCACATGCGAGGCAAATGCCCTACCCACTATGCTACAGCTTCACACCAGTCTATCCTTTCATCTGTTAGATATGAACCAGGGTCTTTGCACACACACTCTTTCCTACTCCCAGGTTTCCACCTCCCTCCTTTTACTGATGACATCTATAATATTGAAGTTTAGCTCCAGAGACAAACAGAACATGGTAATGCATTTGTTTTGCATGCGGCCAGCACCATTTTGATGCTTTGCACTGCATATGATCCCGTGAGCACCACCAGTAGGTACACTTGGGGACAGACCCATTCTCAACACAGCCAGGAATAAGCCCTGAGCACCCTGTGTGTGATGCAAACCCCTATCCTCCAAAAGTTCAACTTCAGCTTGATAGTTCCTCCAGGTGTACTGTTGAGGACTCAGCACAGCATTGACCTGTCCCTAAACTTACTGGCTTAGAGTTTGAGACCTAGTGTCATCCCACAAATTATGCTGAGAAAAAAATAACCTGGTGACTATGACTGACAGAGAAAATGAGACAAATAATAAACTGATACTATAGACAAGAGATTTGAATTGGTGGCCAAACCACTGGGAGTTAGCTTAACTCTTATTATCCATAAAATACCAGTAATAAATTAAAAAAGAAAACTGCTGAAGGGATCATCTACTTAACGTACCAGGATGGAAATCTTCAAGTACATCAGAAAGTTTGATGCACACCAAGGATTACATCAATCTTCTTGATACTTAGTAACTGAGGAAATGGTTGAAACAAAATTAAATTAACAAAAGAAGATGAAAAAAATCTAAGAATTCAAAGAGAAATTAAGGTGCTAAAGAATATAGTGAAAGGACTGAACAGTGGCTGAATGGAAGAAGCAAAAAATTAAATAAATGACCTCAAAAACAAGGCACAAGAAACCATCATAAAGAATAGGTCATAGACAATAATATGGGATCAGAGAGATCATAAAGTGACTTGAGCACTTTCCTTGCATACAGTCAACCCAAGTTCAGTCCCAGCACCCCATTTGAACACAGAGCCAGGGGTCAGCCCTGAGCAAGGCTGAGTGTGGTCCCCAAACAAATTCAAAACCTATAACTCTCTAAATAGTATATTTCTAAATATTTTTATTGTAGATAGCATATATATATGCATGCAATATATTTCTCATAAGACAGTTTTCCCTATAACCAGTTCTATACTTATATGCAGTGTCCAGAGTCCTTTTTTACACAGTATATTTTTGGGCTTGTCTCTTATGCTAAGACAAATAGACATGAGTCAAAAAAACAGGTACACTTTACTTCTTTTAAAAACCATTCTAAGAGCTGCTTTCATTGCTTTGTTTCTCAGGCTATAGATCAATGGATTGAGCGTTGGGGGCACAATAGAATAAAAAATAGTGAGCACAATGTCGAGAGCTGATGGATTTTCAGAATGAGGCTTTAAAAACTCAAAGAAACCTGTAGAAGCAAATAAAATGACAACAGCAAGGTGGGGAATGCATGTGGAAAAAGCCTTAGTTCTGCCCTCAGCAGATGGGATCCTCAGCACAGAAGAAAATATTTGCACATAGGAGCAACCAATAAAAATGATACAGCCAAATGACAACAGAATGAAGAAGACTGAGACCCCAACCTCCCTGATATAGTCATTAGAACAGGAGAGTTTCAGGATCTGGGGGATATCACAGAAGAACTGGTGGATGATGCGGGGGCCACAAAACTGGATGGAGAAAGTAGCTGCCGTATGCATGACTCCAGAGAGGGTCCCGCTGATCCAGACACCGGCGATCCCATGGAGACAGGTTCTGACATTCATGATGACGTCATAGTGTAGGGGAAGGCAGATGGCCACATAACGATCATAGGACATCAACGTGAGCATCGCCATCTCAGCAGAACTACAGGTAATCAAAGTAAAGCACTGCACTATGCATTCCCAGAGGGAAATAGTTCCACTTTGTTTGAATGCGTTGTAAATAAATTTTGGTACAGTCACGGAAATGTAGCAGAGATCCAGCAAGGAGAGATGCTTCAGGAAGAAATACATGGGGGACTGGAGACTGTCATCCAGGGAAGTTGTGGTGATGATGAGCATGTTGCCAGTTAAAGCCAACACATATAAGACCAAGAACAGAGAAGCATAGAAGAGTTCTTGTTCAGGTTTGGCAGAAAATCCCAAGAGAAGAAATCCACTCACATTGAAATTATCCATAGTCCTTGACTTCTTACTGTGCTTGACTTCAAGACAACATGGAATCTTTGAAGAGAAATTGTTTTTGTAACATCAGTCTAAACCATGAAGTTTGGGTAAGAAGTCAGAATCAAAACTTTTCCTTTAGAAATGTGAGAGGTTTTGTATAGTGATAACCATCTCAAACAATTTAACGACTTTGTCTATTAGGAATAGATACTCATCATCATCAATAATGCATTTTAGCTTTGCTATTTCTATTTAGTAAATGATATCAGTATAGGATCCTTGGGCATAGTTTAAAAGGGAGCAAGTACAGGAGTGTGGACATAGCATAAAACATTTTTCCGTCACGGATTTTGGATAAAAATGACCTTGTTTCATTTTTTGTTTTTCACTGGTGATTTTTGGAATTACTGTTTTTATTTTGTTCATTTGTTTGTTTGCTTTTATCTACTCCCAGCTATATTCTCAGGGGTTGCTGAGGACCAGCTTTGCAGGAGCAGAGCGTGAGATTCCTGCTTACAGAGCACTGAGACTCCTCCTTCATTTGATTCCTTGCACAAAGTGATTTCTGAGCACTGCAAGCGAGCCATGGAGAACTTTCAATACTGCCAGACTGAATCTGGTCATCCCCAGCATGACAGAATCCTAGTTTCACCAATTTGGGACCCAGCTCTGAACTGCAACTGTTTTTTTTCAGTATAACAGAATGATGGTGTAGAGGGTCCCCTCAGCAATACTTGGGTTCTTCCGACCCTCATTATACCAAAAATATATACATATATACTTATATATACACATATATATCCTTAAGTAGATATGTCCACATAAAAATAAAACCACAAGAAAGTACCTGGAGCTTGCCTTGCATATAGTCGACGCCACTTAGGTCTCTGGTATCACCTGCTCCCTGCCCCCACAAGCATTACTGGTCCAGAGGTCCCTGAACATTCCTGGTGGCATAGGTGCTCCCTGGCACTCGAAGCCCACAGCACCTCACTCTCAGGCCCTAGAATGGAGCAGCTGCCCCTGTGTGCGAGAGTCACTGGGAGAGGCTGAGGCCCCTTGAGAACTGCCGGGAACCGGCCTTTCCATCCAAAGTGTTATTCAGCTCAATACAACACTTAGAAATAAGTTTCTAAGATCTCCATTCACTATCATCAACTGTCCTACGTATACATTACTAGGACCACACAGCAGTTCATTTTAGGGGGTTTATAATATTATCGTGCATGAGGGCAAAAGTTCCTGATGCTTTTTCTTCTTACTCAGTATTTTTCCTTGCAATGCCAGCTGCTTGGACTCTTAGTTGGAAATATAGGACCAAACAGCAAAACAAGCCTTAGATGCTAGTAAAAAACTGTGATGGGGGAGGATGGGCACTGGTGGAGGGATGGGTACTTGATCATTGTATAACTGAAACCCAAGCACAAAAATTTGTGAGTCTATAAGTGTACTTCATGGTGTTTCACTAATAAAAAAAAAGATAAAAAAAAAAACTGTGATTGCCTGAGAGAAAGGGAAGGAAGGCAGAAGGTGAGAATGGAAGGTACAGCTAAAGTGTGTGAAACTCTCATCTCAAATTTCCAGAGTATATAAACCAGTGAACAGACAAAATGTCAAGAGATAAAAATGAACAATGAATGTTTTTCTCCAGAAAAATGTCTTATTTTGCTATCTGCTTTTATCGTGTTAGGTCACCGGTGCTTGGGGAAGACTCATAACTCCGTGCTCAGAGGTTGATTTCTGCAGTTCTTGGGGGATGCCTAGTTTCCTACTGCAAAGCCTGTCCTCAGTGTGCTGAGCTGTCACTCTTGTCCCAGAAAAAACAATTTTGAAAAATTGTCTACTGGTATGACCTACACAGGCACATTGATTTGCTCACAATCACTGTGGTTAACATAAAGCCTCATGTCCTTGTCCTGAAAACCTAAATTTCCAGTCTGAAAGCATGAAATAACATCTCGTTTATTGTTAAAAGATATAAATATTGCTGAAATAAACTTAAAAATAAATTTTCAAGCTTTCAGTTGAACAGGATATCAGTTATGAAATGTCATTTTCACCCAACATGTATAAAATAGTTTATAATGATCTCTCTCAAATTTATATATTGAATTTTATTAATTATTGAGAATGGAACCTAAACATACAAATAGTACATACATACAAATAGTAAAGTTTGTGTGTGTTCTCTGGAAAATAGTCTGTAGTTTAATCAAATTTGTATATAAATGAAACTTAAATTAAGATTCCAAATAATCAATACTGAAGAATATTATATCTATTTAAAATTGGTTCACTAGCAAAATCCATTAAGAAATCCTAAAACTATGAAAAATTCCTTATATGGAAAGATTTCAGAAGGTTCTGAAAATAGGATTCTGAATTATTTTTTCTGAAATGGTATTATGATCACACTTAGGATTATATTATATTATTTCTATATACAGATTTTTTAGGCTCTCAAAATATTCAATTAGATAGGAATGGAATTGGTTTAGACTATAAGGAAATAAGACCAATAGCAAGTAATTATTTCTCATTATTTCTGAGTGTATGATTATGTCTGTCGTTGAACTGGAAGGCTGTTTAAATCTGAGATTTGGGGAGAGAAATTATCCCAGAAGAGGTGGTTCCAGCACAAATCAAAGCTAACCTCTTTGGCACATTTGTTCATTGTTGGGGTGATTGTGTTTGAGCATGCGTGTGGTTGTGCAATTCTGTGTACATTTAAGTGAAACGTACCGAATAAAAAGTGACTGATAGGGAATAGATCATTTTACTCCAGAAAATGTTTCTGGAATGGAAGGAGTTTCTCTTTCTATATCTAATTAATATATTGTGAATTTATGTGTTTTAGTTTAGAATTTTTAAATAAAGAGGAGCTTCTTTTTATGCTGTCAAATCTGTCATTTGTTCCATTCCATTTTACAATATAGCCTATCTTTCCAGAACCTAAGGAAATTCGCCAGAGTACCCCCAGAAATTTCTTACCTCACCATAAGGACAAGTTGTCAGTCTCAGAAGCCAACAGTCACTTAGATGAAAGTCTTGTCTCGGCCATCCAGTTCCTTTGACTAAAATGCAGTTTGTGGGGTGTATAACATGAGTCCATTTCAGTTCTTTGGCCATTTGGGCTTAGGGATAAAGTCCCATTGGCAGCATTAGAGATTCTGGGTTCTCTGGGTATTGGCAATTCTGTGTAATACCCTGGGGTCCGAACTTGCAATTCTAATGGGTTTTCTTGAAGTATATTTTTCTGCTGAAGTATTTTAATGACCTAGTTACTGGAGGTATAGCTTTATTTGCATTCTCTAATCTTATAATAAAAACAAATACCATATCTTAATTTCAGAAATCAAGAGCAATGTATTAATATATTTTAATCAATTGTTTTAACTAGATATTTATTCAACTTATGATTTAATCTTGGCATAATATCCAAACCTGTTATTACTTTTTGTTTAAAACAGATATAAAATACCATTTGTTTGCTTACAATGAATCAAATTAATATCCTAGTCTTTAAAAAGTAGTGTTTAATATATTTTTTAGTAAAGGTTATAACAGTATTAAAATTTATAGTTTCAATGAACAAAGTTATTACACCCCATCATCTGTCAAATGTCCAACATTCTCCACCACTTTCCCTTGTCACCTGTGGTCTACCTCTATCTTCCTATCTGCTCCTCCACTGTTTTGTAATCTTAATTTTTCTCTGTAATTGTTCAATACTATTCAGTTCTGTTCAAAACTCTTGATTTATCCTTCTATATATATCACAGATAAGTAAGATCATCTGATATTTGTCTTTTGCCCTCTGACTTATTTCACTTATCATGACACCTTCCAATTCCATTGACATTGTAGTCCACTACATGATTTTATCATTTCCTAAAGCTGCATAGTATTGCATTGTGTATCTATAGTAAATTCTGTATCCATTCATCAGTTCATTGGTGATTTGGTTTGTCTCCACATCTCGACTATTGTATCAAACATTGTGATTAACTAGCTATGCATAGTTTTTGAATGTTAATATTTTGTTTTGTTTTATTTTATTTTTTTAGTTTGGAATTTAGATGCCCAGAGTTGAATCGTCCTTATGGAGTTCTATGCTAAATTTATGAGAAATATCCATGTTTCCCTAGAGATGGATCACACTAAATTCCCACCAATAGTATAAGAAGGTTCCTTTATTATCATGCCCCAGTCACTGGGTATTTCCTATATATATATCTAGTATCTAGATAGGTAGATAGACTCTTCTCATTGGTGTTAGATGTTATCTCAATGTTACTTGGTTTTGCATTTTCATTATAATAGTAGCTGGTGAACATTTTTTCAAAAGTCTTCTTCAGGGAATGTTTATCTTTCCTCCAAATTTTGATGGGATTATTGGTGTTTCTATTGTTGATCATTGTGAGATATTTATGTATTTTGTATGTTAGCCGGTATCTCTTTATTGTGGGCACATATTTTCTCACATTCTATGGGGAGACTTTTTGTGTTATCCTGGGTTTGCCTGACCATGTAAAATCGTTTACATTTGATGTAGTCCATTTCTTCGGTTTTGTTTTCCTTATTCCTGCCACTGTTTTCAAGTTATTGACATCAGTTATGACACAATGTCAAGTTATATACTTGCAAAGTTTATATCCTAGAATTATACTTATGCTTTTATTGACATGTATTTTATGAATTTTTTCTAATACCTTATTTGTAATTATATTTAATGGCAAGAGATGAAACGCTTTCCCTCTAAGATCAAGGCACAAGCAAAAATGTTCTCTTTCTTCATTTGTGATCATTAATCTTAGAAGGCCATGGAAATAAGGCATGAAAAAGACATCAAAGGTATTCAAATTGGAAAAAGACAAAGTTAAATAGCACTCTTTGCATATAACTTGCTAATTAGCACTTTCCTGTTAGTACTGTCCTCCCATTCATCAAATTGCTTGAGTGGGCACCAGTAACATCTCCACTGTGAGACTTGTTACTGTTTTTGGCATATC